GGACTGCCAGCTACGCTATCCAATATGTATACCAGCAAGTGATGCATGGGAATCACCACATGCAATCCAAGCATTTGGCGAATTATGGCAAAGGGGGGATATACATTTATTATAATTGAATAATGGAATGCATAATTTAGCAACGTAAATCGGTAATTGATTTTTTATTCAACTTAATATAGTTTACGTATGGTTATTTTCCAACATCATTTGAATAATGCGTTGTCAACGGTAAACTACACATGATGCTTGAGCAGATCATGTGGCGAACAGGCATTTGGTTGTTGGCCCAAAATAAACAATCAAACGCCGCGTGGGCGCCCATAAAAAAAAACAAGCGACACTGGCATCAGGCCGGCACATAAAGTTGGCATATTTATGTGACTAATTTGAAATAAAATATAAAACATAAAACTCACCAAATAATATTAAGAGTCGCCAACAAAAGTGAGATGCATATCAACAATTAGAAGCACGTCAGGCGCCCCATGGCCTCAAGAGATTTGAGAAATTTGACGCTTTTACGAGCTGCTCTCCACACCGGACAGGCAGCATAATGTCTCTCTTTGATATACCAAATTAAAGCAATGGACACTGGACACTGGAAGACGGACAGTGGACATTTGAGCGCTGTAATCTGGAGATACGAGTACTTTGCATATGCATGAGTTGGCGCTGGGGCAGCTGGCGCCACGGAGAGCAAACAAGTTGATCAGCAACATAGAAAACAACATAATTGAGGCAATTAGAAAACATCAAAATATTGGGCCTGGCCGCAGAAAATTGTTAAATAAATAAATGCTAACAAATTTTGATCTTAATTAAGCACTTGAGCGCTTAGCTGAATGTTTATGTAAAGTCTGGACAGGCACAATGCACAAATACAAATGCTCCGACTCTTTGAGTTCACAATGTAATTAAAGCCAGCTCTCAAGCGCTGAGCAATGACACAGCAATTTTGAATGGAACATGGAGTTGAGTTTGTGTTTGAGTTTGAGCGTTGAGGGAGCTGGAACCAACGCCCACCTTATGATCATTCAATTAAAACGCTTAGGAATTATTATTATGACAAACAAATGTCGAGAGTTTTCAAATGATGCCAATCTCTCTCTCGCTAACCGCAGGAAGTTGAAAAAGGCGGCCCAAAATGAAGAAAAAAATTACAAGCAATTGAAAGAATATGATCAATATCTCTGGCCAACTGGCGGAAGTGAATTGAAAAGTTAACGAGCGTGGCAGTTATCTCGGCAAAAATGGCCGCTATTTGTTTGACCATCAAGTTCGTTGCCTAAGTCTTTCGTTTAGACAAATGCCCCAACATGGACTTTAAATTAATTACTTAATTTAACACAACACACGGCACAGCGACACCTCCGATACCGATGACATGCAACGCGACGTTGACAGCAGCCTCGCAGACGACAACACAAAGCACTAACATTGACCAATTGCCAGCAGGCGAAACCTGTTGTCGATCGAACAGCCGAGCCACAATCACAGTCCTTGGCTGAGACTGGCACAGGCACTGGGCTGAAGATGGGGGCATAACAGATTAGTTAGCATATCCCATATCAGGGTAATTATTGTTAAATGAGATAACGATCTTGTACTGCGTTGACATTTATTTATTTTCCTTAATTTCGCCGTATTAATCTTCCTGGAAACACACATTAAAAACAACACAGAACGCAGCGAAAAGCACAGCAGAAATTAAAATGAAAAAAAAAAAAAACAAAAAAACGAAATAAGACGAAAGACAGACGGACACACACCCGTTGTGGCACGTATGTGTGTGCCATAATGATCATTAGCGGGCCATGAAAATCAACGGCATCAATTTGGCTTTATTGCCAATGCAATGGAACGGGCATTCAGCCAGTTTATCGAGCCGCCTTTTGACAATTTGCATGATGCGATCAATCGATCAATATGCGAACAACTCGAAAACGAAAGTCAGCTAATTAATATAATAAGTAAGCATCAGTAGTAATTTAAGAAAGCTCATCAAATTCAACAAAATTACCTGGCAATTAAACGAACATGTGAACGAACAACGGCAAACACCTTTATAGATGCTGAGATATTAAGTGAACCCCAAAACAAAACTCAATTAAAATCCAACAAGCAAAAATAAAGCGTTGTCTCGCTACAACAACAACAACAACAACTACGCCAACTATGGACAGCTGGCAGAGAGAAATATGAGGAAAAAAAAATCCAACAACCAAAAAAAGACGCAGCTAATTTAACCAAATTGGATTACTTAATAAGTTTATTGGATAAATAACTTGGTCATAGCAACAACAACAACAACAACAACAACCACGAATCGTTGTGCCCACAAAAGCATAAAGTGAATGTTTTGTTGTTGTTGTTATTGGGGCGCGCCACAAGCGCACAAACCTTTTGTGGCATTCAAAATAAGCCACGGGGCAAAACAAGTTGTATATAAAAATTGTGAGTTAATTTCTGAGAATTATCAAAGATTCCCCCATGTCCCTCACTCACTCTGCGTGCTCTCCTCTAATGTGTGCTGTTCTACAGAAACATTTGAAATGATATCGTAAAGAAAAAAAAAAAAACAAAAACAGGTCGAAGATAAGCCCACAAAAACAAAATGCACGGCAAGAAGGCTCCCAATCAAGTGGGCGTCGTAATTTATTATTAATTATAATCAACTTTTGATAGACAACAGTCAGAGAATATCAGTGGAGTGCCAGGCAAGGCAACTATCTCGGGATCAAATGTGCGTGCTACTAAACAAACACACGCCTTTTACCTCTACGTATTTAACTCGGCCAAGCACTTAATTTGTTGTTTGTTTTTATACATAAATGCGATTTATATCATTATCTGTGTGTGTGTGTGTGTGTGAGTATGTGTTAGGCATGTAATTTGCTTTAAGGGCTCGGATTGTAAATGTTCTGACACTGATTTATGCATGGCTTTTGTCGGATCTGAACAGTGAATTACTCAGCTATTCAGTTATTCAACCAAATCATAGACTAGACGCCCCCAAATCAGTGCCTTTGACAGGCAGCTACAATTTAGTGTTGTTAACATCTAGTAATTAGACTCGATATGACTGTTAATTAGCTATATCAATTTGCCGGCTCTTGCAGCTTGCCCCATGCAATTTATCATTGCATATTCATAAGATCCGCTGCTGCTGTGAAATTCGCAAGATTGTCAAGATCTGTCGTAATAATAACGCTATTCGGTTTATTCGCATAAGTTGTGGAGCAATAAACATAAATTTTGATTTTAAAATCATTAGCACACCCCAAGCCAAAGTGCTGCGATGTCATTTTGCACATAACCAGTTATGGGTATCCCTCACACCTCTCAGTGTGAGCGGCTGCACCACCTGTACCACCCCCAAACCGTCTTTGCCGATGTCAGTCGAGCTGCGCTCAATTAATTTCCACAATAAAACACGATTTGCATTTTAAATTGTGCAATTAAAATGCTTATGAAGTCAATAAAAAAAAATCGCTAAATGCATTTTATGGACGCCTCCTTCATCCCAACTCCCCCTGCTATCATCACAAAAACAAAAACTACAACAATAAGAAGGAAATGTTAATGTCACACGTTAATAAATTAGCAGTACATATTTTACCGCTCTCGTCGTGAAAATGGATGAGTCTAGAGTCTACACTCTAAAGGTAGCTACATATATCTGCAGCCAAGTATATACTATATACTTTTGTTATTGTTGTTAATTCGACAATCGACTTAATGTCTGGCGCCTTTCTAAGTAAAAGCTGATTTGGTTGGAAACTGTTTCCACAACATTTCTTAAAGTGGCAATTTCAGTTGTTTGCCCCTCACTTTTGCATTGAACGGCTTAGCACCGTAGTTATTTTGTTTGAAATTATGTAAATATGTGTTTGTTGAAGAAACTTAAAAAACTGCGCCATACAAACCTTAAATGTTTACTCTCTTTTGACACTGACTTTTTGCCGTCGGTTTGCCATCTTCGCAAGATCGAGACTCTAACCTGAAGAGGAAAAATTGGATTTGGAACTGAATCTATAACTTGCAAAATGTAAAATAGAAAACTTAATATTCAAAGGTTGAATAGCCATTAATAAATGAATTTATGATGGCACACGGTCTTTAAGTATAATTTATTAATATGTATTTGTTTCAAAGGTGAGAAACCTTTACGGCAATTTGAATATGATATGGAATCCATTTGACTTTTGTTTACCCAATTAAAACAACATTTGAAATTTATATTTTTGTTCTTGCATAAGAATATTTTATATTTTATATATGAATATTTTTTTAAGCATTTTGTTTCTTATCAACTAAAACTAATAACTAAAGCAACTAAAAGTTTTCGATATTCTAAGTAAAAAGCTGCTGAAAAAAACGAATGCCGGATTTGTGTGCTTAGTACTAAATATAAATACAATCATTAACATAACTAGAGAGGTTTAAATAAATGCTATATTGATGTACAGGAATTACATAAAAAGTACGAGTAAAAATGTGCAAGAAATTCGCTAATTAAAATTAATGTTTGTGGCGCACGTTTTCCTCTTCTTTTTATAATATTTACACGCTTAAACAATTAAATTTGTACAATTGTTGCTTCTCTCTTTCTCCCTCTCTCTCTCTCTCTCTCTCTCTCTCTCTCTCTCTCTCTCTTTCTCTCTCTCTCTGTCTTAGCTTTCTTTCAAGATGATTTCTATATTATTTAGTTTGTTATTTTCCAGTTGCTGCTATTTTTTTTTCTTCTAATTTTGAGCTCAACTCAACTCGATTCGAAGGGCGCCCCACGCCTTGGGATTTGGCACAGTTAGGGGGCGTGGCTGGTGGGCACCCTTTCGTCTTCGTACTTAATACTTTTGTAGGGAGTGTTTTCTGATTTGTTTTTTTTTTTATAGTTGGGAGATGCTTTTAGATCAGTTTGCTATATACACTAAGCCTAGCGCTTTTCATTTTTTAAGAATATATCACAAATAACTAATTATAAGAGTTCACACACACAAACACACGCACACACACACACACAGATACACACGCATACACATACACAATGCTCGGCAATTTTGGCGCTTTTTTTTAGTAAGGAACTCACGGATGGAGATGCGCAGAGATTGCGAGGCAGGCAGGCGAGGAGGCAGTCCAAATTAATGACTCGCATCGAGGTCATGCTCATCATCGCTGGCACACTCATCCATTTCCATATCGATGAGCTCATCATCATCCTCATCACCGCTGCCGTTGTGCATGTGGCGCTCAGAGCCGGAACCGCCCCCCTTTTCGTCTTCCTGTTGCATGCGTTTGTGTTTGGTGCGCCGATTCTGGAACCAGACCTTCACCTGTGTCTCCGACAGATTGAGCGACTGGGCGAGCGCCTTCCGCTCCGCACCGACCACATATTGATTGCTCTCGAAGGCGTGCTCCAGCTTCAGCAGCTGCGACGGCGAGAATGCGGTGCGAATGCGCTTCGGCTTGCGAAACGGTTGCAAAAGGAAGTCTGCAAGAAAGCCAAATAAAAAAAAGGGAATCTGGTTAGTCAACTGTTTGGCAGCTGGCTGTTAGCTAGTCTGTACTTACTTCCTGGAAAGCGGTGCGGAAAGATGCGTCCGTGGCGACTGAGCAGCCATGGATAGAGCGGATAACTGTCGCGTGGCATGCCCGGGCTGCCCATAAAGGAGGCAGCCGCATGTGGAGGCAGACCAGCCGCTGCAGCGGCTGCTGCTGCTGGTCCCAGTACATGACCGGCCTGCAGGGCGGCAGCCATTTGGAATTGGGCGGCGGCAATTAGATGCGGATTGTGCTGCGGCGGCAGCTCTGGCGGCGTATTGATGTACGGCGGCAGCGCCTTGATGTCCGGCATGCCTGGTTGTCCTTGGTGCTGCGGCGGACCGCCTGGGCCCATGGGAAAGGGACGTACCAGTCCGGCGGGTGGCATGCCCGGCATCATAAGGGGACTGTGACCATTGGCTGGACCAGCACCAGGATGCATTCCCGGAGGCTTTGGGTAGCTGGGTGTCTGTTGCTGCTGCTGTTGCTGTTGCTGGGGTGGTGTATTGTGCGGACTGCTGACCAGCAAAGTGGGTGATGAGGAGGGCTGCGAAGATTGCGGTGAGACGGATTTGGGTGGCGTATGTGGCGGCTGAATGCGCTGAGCCGGATTGTCAGTCTGCTCCGAGCCGGGTGGGGCGGGGGAACGTTCGCGTTTCAGGGAAACAGCAACAGGTTCGCCGCCAAGCGGGGAGAGGCGGGTCTGCAGCGGACTGAGGCTGTTGGCGACGGCGGCATTGTGATGCAGACGCTGCAACAGCTCCTGGATATCATGATGTGACTTTGGTGTGACCTGCTGATGATGCTGTTGCTGCAGCAGCAGATGCTGATGCAGTGCATGCTGCTGGGCTGGCGAGAGATGCGGATGTTGATGTGGGTGTGGATGCGGTGCCATGTGCGACGGCATAACGTGAGTGGCATGATGTGTTGGTGGCGCCATTAAATGATGCGGTGGCGTCGGCGTCGTTGATAGCAACGTAATCGCAGCTGGCGGTGTCTGTGGTGGGGAACCGGGACCATTGCGTTCCGGCTGAGGGCTGCCCGGCTGCTGATCGGGATTGCCTCCAGAGGCAGTCACCGTCACCGTCGCCGTCGTCGTCGTCGTTGTGGCATCGTTGCCAACAATCGAGTCGATGCTGAAGCCGATCTTCTGCTTGGGCGTGGGCAACATGACGGCTGAGGTGGGTACCGGCGGAATCATTTTAGTCATAAATACGCGCGTTGATTGTGCGGGCGGCGAGGCGGCGATTAGTTCGGCTATCTTGGCGGCCTTTTCTTTTTTGTTTTTTCTTTTCTTTTTTTTGCTTCTTTTATTGGTCAGTGTTAATCAGCTAATCCCTTAATGGTAACTGCTGTTTGTTGTTTACACTTGGCGCAACATTTGAGCGCTGCACAACACTCAACACTTGCACTTGGCTTTTTGTTTGTTTTCCGTTTAACCCTTTGACGACGGGGCACGTAAACAACTTTCTAGCGGGAAGCGGAGAGGGAGAGTCAACAGATTTTTTGTTTTTGAGTTTTTTTTTTTTTGCGATCGACGCGCTCGTAACGTGTTCACTCGACGACGTTCACAGTCTGAATAATCGAGAGAAGCGGCACAGCGACACCAAGTGTACACAGTGGGAATTATAAGCGACGCGAAGCGACACGACTCGCTCTCTCTGTCTCTCGCTCTCCCTCTCTCGCTGACGCTCTTGCGCGTTGCCGCTCTATCTGTCTCTCGCTTACCCAACAAACACGTCAAACCGGTCTTCGTCACGGTTGTTCTTGTATTTGTATTTGTGCTTGCTGTTCGCCTCGTTGTGCGATAGAGACCGCATGAGCAGAACGGCAAATACATGCGCGCCGACCAATGGCAGTGGCTTGTTTGTTTGCCATTGCACTCTTGCCTTCTTGTGGATTTTATCTGGCCACGCCATGCTGTCTCATTATCTGATCGGGTCAGCTGTACATGAAGAGAGGCGTACACAATTTAATTCGCTACGTTGTTCTACGCTTCTCTGTATTTGTATTTGTGTGATTGTGTTTTTTCTGCATATGGCTTCCGTTGGTTTCTCTGCTGCTGCTGGTGCTGCTGCTGCTGCTGTTATTGCTGGTGGTGGTTGCTGTTGTTATTGTTGTTGTTGTTGCTGCTGCTGCTGCTGCTCTTTTTGTTGGCATTGTGGCTGTCTCTGTGTAATTTGGCTTAAACTGCCATTCATAGTTTTTGTGGTTAGATTTTCATGTTCTTAATTTTGTTTGAAAACAAGCAAAATGTGTCCAAATGCTTTAAATAGAAAATGTGCCACGCCAATTTAGTCGGCTCGTTAATCATATTAAGCATACATAGTATACTAGACAGTAGAACATAACATTGCTTCTATATTTGTTTATTCGCGTATTTTATTTTTAATTTTTGTTAAGCTACTTGCATACATTAAATATGTATACATAACCCCATTGTCCATTCAGCTTATCAATTCCCTGGCGCTGAGGTTACACTTTGAATGCTGATTTCAGTATTAGCTTTGTACTATCTTGAACCACTTTCCAGGCGGCTAGCTTAGATTGTCATGCATGAAGTTCAAATAGAATCAATCAAATTATAAATTCCGCACCACAAATGCACTTCAAAATTGGTCTGGCATTAATAAATCAAACCAACCGAACATTTTCTACGACAGTTTTATATATAGAGCATTACGCATACAATTTAAATGTTAATTTCGAATAATATTTTTAAGTCAATATTTGTATAATTTTTTTTTTTTTGGCACAAGACAAACTTTGCATAATTTATGTGCGATTGAAATCCGAATCTAAATTGGATCAGCAACACATATTGTCAGAGCGTAAATTTATTTTGGTGTCGAGACGCAAATAACAATTAGTAATCAGTAAATAATTCACACAAATAATTTTCACACTTTTTAGTGTTTTCTGGTTATAGTTTGACTTAAGTTGAGCTGATTGTTTGCCGGGGTTATCAGTTCAGGGGCAAGTCACACAAATTTATGACTTTCGAAATAAATAAAAATTGAATATGGATTTTTTTTTGTGTGTGCTGTTTTTAGATTAAAATCAATTTAATGACTAGCTAATCAAGTCAACTGCCTGGGAACACATTGTAGTCTCCAACCGTTGTGGCTATTAAAGTATAAATCTGCTGCCTAATGGGATTCGTGATCAATAATCAAATTATGGAAAGCTCTTAATTGACAAAACGTGCGAACAAATTAAAGTGACTGCAAAAATCAAATACTTTTACATTTGCTCATTGGCCACAGTTTCAATTAGTCAAATGTATGAGCCATCAAGTGTTTAGATTCACACGCCCCCTGCGGGATATCAGGGGCCAACACTAGAAGAGAATAACAACTGGAACATGACCAGAACAAGGACAAGGAGTGCCCGCCGCTCTCACCGCAGGATCTGTGCAACAAGAGCGCAACAATTGTGTTGTTAATGAGCAAATAAAGATATCTGCATGACTAGCAGCATCAGCAGCAGCAGCATCATCTAAATAGATGTCCGACTAACCAGCTGCCTGCCCCGAGCATTAACTCCCGCTGAGCACCCAATTGTACACAATTACGACAGTACTCGACCCTAAAATACCCTGCAGAGCGGACTCTTCCCGGACTCTTGAATTTTATGACAAGGCTTTGGTTTGATTGGGCTTCTTTTGGGTTTCCTTTTATGTTTAATTTTATATAATTTAATTTGAAGTTTTCATTTTTAAATTTGAATTTCGCTATAATCGATCTCATCAACATAGATGCCCACAAATACTAAACTGTAGCATAGACCGTGAATAGATTAAGCAAATTTCAATAAACTTAAAAATCAAATGCTAGGAAGCCCGCTTACCCCACATTTACAGGGTATCAGTTCACGCACAAAGTTCGCACAGGCGCTCCTGTGACTGCAAATGAAAACCATAAAAAATGCAAGACAAGGGCGAGAAAGATAACAAAAACAAAAACAAAAACAAAAAAGCGTATTTATTAGATGGAAATAAAAACGATGCCAGCCAGCCCTCGAGAGCACAATGCGAACCCGGCCGAAAGGTGTCAAAATCAACAATTTTCGAGCTGCAAACAATTCCATAGAAAACAAGGCGCACAGCATGATGCAATTTCGACCCTCTCGCTCTTATCTCCCAGTTAGGCTATGTGCCTGTCCTGCTCTGGCCTGATACCGTTTGTAGATCTATGCACGTTAACAATTTTTCGACTGAAATGATGATGAAAAAAATGAAATAAAAGCAACAACAGTTTCACTTTTGCTTGGCTGCCGGACTGGAAAACAATGAAAAACGTGGCAAATTTCCCTTTGTTTAATTTAGTGGCAAGAAATTGTTTGAGAAGCAACATGAAAATGGGAGAAACAAAAAATTGACTTTAATGATGATGAGTTGGCGATTAGAAGAACGCTTCAAAATGCTTCGAGTGCCCTCAGGAGTGCCACTAAATTCATTTGAATTGCGTTTGTGTGTAATTCCCTCTGTTTTCTTCATTTTTTTTTTTTATTTTGCTGTTGATGTTGATGTTTTGTCTTTTTACGCTGAAAATGGCACAATTATATAGAAATCTCAATATTATACACTTACCCTACTTGTGTGTGCTGGTGGTATTTTGGAACTGGCATTTAAATGTAATTAATTTACAGTGCCTTGATTGGAATTAAAAAAAAAAAAAGAAGCTACACACTTACATAAGTTGGTTCCAGGAATTCGAGTTTAGATCTATCAATTTCACAGTTCTCATAATAAGTAAGTTTTTATTTCTATTTTCCCCCAAAAGATCCTCTCATAATTTGAACGCTTGTAAATCGACGCGGCTCAGAAAATTATGATGGATGATATTGTGGTTGCATTTTCACGCTTGAAAACCGTGCCAGGGGTGGGGCCAAATAGTAGCAGCCGAGAAAAACTCGAAACTGACAGCGCTTCCAATTCGAATGATGATAGGCATGAGAGGATCAGACGCGGGGGCGCATGTGTGGAAGGGGTAGATCAAACAACTGGACAGCGCTGGGCATGTGTTTGCAGAGTTCCCAGAAAAACCCATTACAAGGTAAATGCCAACGCCAAGGGGTAACTGGCTAAGGATCAGTATTTGTGTTATTCGTATTTCGTGCACGCCGCGTAGAACGAGACCAATCAAGAGCTAACCCCAAAAGACGTTCAGTATAATAACTGAAAAGGCCATAAAATCATATTAAAACACAATTTTTGGTCAACAAGCGAGCGTTAAGGGGCCAGCGACATAAAACATTTATATCTAATCCTTGACAATCATAAAAATCACCGAGACGACATGACAACGATAACAACGACAATGGAAAATGGAAAATGGGAAATGCTATAAGCTGTCAGCAGCGGCAAACATTGCTTTAAATTGTCGGAAAAGTAGTCAGCAACGAGCCGCAGCGGGGAAACCAACGCCAACCAAAAAGATGTCAAGAAAACAGTAGTCCCGAAACAGTAGAGAAATGTCATAAAAATGTCTAGCTGGCTCCCACTTTTCACTTTTCACCGTACATCGCTTCCTTTTGGTACGTGTGCAAAACATTCTACACTATACAAAAAGTATCTGGCATTTTTATGAGACTTTGCGTAACGGGAAAGGACTATCCTTATACCTATCCCAAAACCAATCCCTAACCATAACCCTAACCCTATTGCTGTCCTTTTGGATGGCATGAAAAACAAACGAATATAAACAGGACAAATCTTACTAGCTGAAAATAAAATCAACGTAATTTTTATAGCTTTTTCACCGCTATTTTTTAGTAGTCATTCGTACTCGTTACGAGTAGTTTTCCCTGCTCTGCTTACACTCCCCTTTTTTGACACATTTATTATTTTGGCTGACAGGCACTTTTGTTCGTGTGTCATTATCGTTTGCCGGGATCCGTTTTGAACAGCCCTTATCTTCCATTGGAATTTATGAACCGGCGGCATAATACAAAAAAGGCACAATCTGATCGAGAGATATGATAAGACAACGATTGATATACTTCTTTATAATGTACTTGTGGTTATAGATCTGCTGACAAAACATAGTTATAATAATGGCAATAGTTATAAGCTAACTTATAACTCGGCCTATATATGTGAAAATCGACTAAGATAGTGCATTACTTACAGTTTGGCATTATTCCTCATTTGAAAATGTACACGGGACAATATATAATATTGTATCTTCTTTAAAAATACATTTTCCTGAACAGGTTTGAAAGCAGAGTCTGTATGAACACTCCGATATCAGAGACTATAAGAGCAAGTCTGTTCATATTTTGAATATATATCTCGTATACCAGATCAAGTTCAATTTGTATAATGATAAGTTTCCCCATCAGGATACAAATCGGCTATTGATAGCAATAAAAGTCGCAATTATAAAAATCCAGATGTATATCCAGACAATAAGATCGGTTAACAAACCCAGATTTTGTTAACCAAAACATATTTTCGTGGGTTGTCTCGACCAGAGCATTCTAACTTGTTTCATGTGTCATCTATTTATCTAAGTTGAAATATATTTTCTATGC